TGTAGCGAGAAAGTGGTCAGAAATTGTCACAGCAAATGACCTTTACGGTCTCAGTTCGCCTATATTGGCTACTAACAGTAACGCTCCGACGAGTGTCTAAAATTTTACACACAAAAACGCAGTGTGATCACAAAAATTTGACATTTTGAACACGAACTGATTATTTTTTCGGTTGATAAATGTTTATAGAGGTAAATGCAGCTGTAGTAGTGAAATAGTTGTTATTTATTATTACTTGCACTTTTTCCACAACCCACTATCCATATATTACATACTGTGTATGGGTGTACATAGGCACTACTGCTGTATTTAGTGTTTTATCTTATTTTATTTTTTATTTATTTATTTTTTCTTGTATTCTTATTCTTGTATTACTCTTGTACTCTTTCAGGCTATCTGTCTAGAGCTGTGGTAATGCACAAATTTCCCCACTGTGGGATCAATAAAGTCCTATCCTATCCTATAATAAGCGCAAAAGAGATAATTTTGGTATTTATTGCCATACAGAGCAACACTAAGCAGTGAATGAATCTTATGCAAAAGGGAGACTGTTAAACTTCTACCACCAGGGTAATGACTCCTATAATCAACACCTGTTGCTGAGCATTATTGTCCATAAACAATGAAAGAGCCTGGCTTTCCACGAGGTGATTTTGTAGATAGACGACTGATTATTGGTACAAAGTGCAAGAAACTAGATAAAAGGGTAATCTGTTACAAGGCTGCATGGTAAATACATTCCAGAACTTCGGTTGCATTATTATTGTCGTTATCATTTCAAACCAGCCACTTACATTCAAAATGACTTGTACAGCTTACAATTATACACAAAATCCATTTATACAAGTGGCTGTTTTTATTGAAGCAATTTAAGAATCTTTTTAAGGGTACAGCTGAAGGACTGCTTTTCATTTTGTGACCGGCATTGCTTCAGTAATAAGTATTGGCTCTTCACTAATATGCCGGTCTGCTACGCCTATTAAGCACATTCTGCACTTGCTATTTGATTTTACTTACAGGCCTATCACCCTGGATAACTTTTATTGCATCTCATTATAGTTGTTAAAATCATATTTTTACTTCATATACATGGCTGAATTTTGCATCCTCCTAGACATTTTTTTGTGCATTAGAATGCATTCCAGGGTATATTGTAGAGAGTTATTTCTGATAAGTCAATAAATTACTTCTGCACAAGACAGTATTTTGCCTCCGGTCTGTCTGTGTGGGCTGTATGTTCTGGCATCGCATGGCTTTCCTCCAGGAATTTTGGTGTTGAGGTCAGAACTGTGTATTTCTCCATTGTATACTGCACCAAATCAAAATGTTAAGCCATATTCCCTTAAACCTCAGACAGTGCCAGTAGCTTGTTCTCTATGGTCCAGTGTCAGCCAGCATACCTTCAAAATCAGGAGCAAAACTTAAAAATAAATGTATTTATACAGAAAACACTGCAAAAGCACTCTTTGTTACAATCCCACACTGAAGTACTAAACCTCACTGCACAGAATGTCCTGAGGTTTATACAGTGAAACTTCTGCTACTAAAACACTTCACCAGGTAACATTTTAACATATTAACTCATTAAAAAGTCTTTGCGTTTGCAGAAATGTGTGCTACTTTGGCACCAATCCAGACTGTCATTGAAAACTACTTTGGTTAGCTGATAAATTATATTGTTGTGAACATTATTTTCAAAAATTCATCATCACCTTGGACTAGAAGGAGTGTCATTTATGTTTTAACAAATAACGCTTTACCAACTAGAAATGGCATTAGAAAAAAACATTGCTGCAATATAACCAGGTTTAATTTCATGTGTTTTTTGATCAGCTTTCATTGAATGTGTGGTCCTCAAAGTGTGACTTATTTGATTCAATATTTCCCGAGGAGACCCTCCTTATTCGGAAGTGTGACACTGCGAATAGGCACTGCGAATAGGCACTGCGAATAGGCACTGCGAATATTTTGTCACATGGATGAACTTGGAAATGTGAACAGAAGGTACTGACTGTGCCTTTAATGTCACCTGCGCTGAACTAGGGAATGGCTAAGAAAAACAGGCTCACATTTATGTATTTTGCAGATGCTTTATCCAAAGCAATGAGCTTTTCAGAAAGCAGGGGCAGCCACTTCCTAGAAGAACCAGGGGTTAAAGACCTTGCTCAGTGGCCCAATGGTAAAATCACTCCTCCGATCATGGGATTTCATCTGGTGACCTTTCAAACACAGGCACACTGTTCTAAATCACTGAGGTGATTTGTTATTGTACAGTAACAAAGATTTACCATTAACAATTAATATAAATACATCTTCAGTATGCAGGCCTGGCTTTCAGCACTTCCATTTTGTTGGTTAGATGAGTACATTGGCACCGTTGTCCTTGTAATCTTGTTGGTGGAGTGACGCTGGACAAGTCAACATAATAAGGAAAATGATTCAAATTAATTGTGGTCATTTCGCGTCTTGGCTGATTTACATGCTATTCAATCCATTCACTACCTCACCAGTGATAACGGTCGTGTCGTTATTATGAAGAGGCCGAAGAGGCGACTAAACGAAGAAACTAAAGATTTCAAATGTTAACCTGGATGGTTCAGACTGAAATTTTTTCACAAGAATTACACCGAAGTTTTATTTAAAATTTGCTTAATGCAGCATGTCTAAACCTCAGGGTTGTAACGACTGAAACCACGTTGGATTCCTTTCTGCAGAATGAAAGGATGTAAAAAAAGGACGACTTGGACAATCGTCTGTCGCAACCCATACTGCTCTTTGGTGGTGAATGCGATGTGACAGCGATGGAGATTCCAGCCGACGGGCTTGTCTACCGCACTCAGGCAGAGCACGGAGACCCCCTCCCTACATGCACAAATCCCCCATAGCGCCCGACGACCTACTTCAAGTGACGGGGGAACGGAGAGACCGAGGGTGCCCCGGCTGATTGTGCGACTCTAGACGCATTTTCCACAAAACAGAACAAACATCATTATTCCGGTCAGCGGAGGAAAAAAACAGAACGACGTAGCCTACTTCTGACATCCATAGTAATACCTGAATCTCTGCAGCGCTTAAAAAAGCATCGGTTTTGCCTTCCCCTTCGCTGTGTGGGAAGTTGTGTGATTGTTGGATTCACGGTTCCTTTCTATTTTTTCCCGCAAAGCAGTACACATTCCCTTATTGTGCAGGTTGCATGTCAAGAATATTGTCCAAAATGCATAAGCCTGTGTTCGTGGTGGATGAAGGTGCATAGATACAGCACACAGACAAACACCTTTACATAAGATTAGCGCCTAATTACAGAAGATAAGCTTATTATACGGAATCTCGCAAGAAGCATGACTTTTAAAATACTCGAGAATAAATTGTCAATGAAAATTACGCCAGTACTCTATATGTTGACTGTGGTGTTGACTATATGTCAAGTGGGGTTTATTTGAGACTAAATTACAATGTGATCTTTATACCAAGTGGTTTCTGTATTTCACTCTATTGTACACTTTCCAGACTCGGCGTCAATTTGTGCAGGGTCGCCATGTCTTTGCAGGACAGCCAAATCTTCTGGAGGTCTGAAGCAGCTTTCGTAAGGCGATATAACTCTTGGACTTAAAAAAAATCCTTATAACACTCAACGCTAAATCTGAAGGAGCAAGACGCTGAGGACCATAGTTACGGTGTGACTCGCATCCAAAAAAGGCTTGTCGGAGCAACGTTCTCTATCTTTTCTCATCTTGCAAGATACATGCAGTCGGTTGTATCTTCCTGCTTGTGCACATGTTCTCTCTCATCTACGAGGCAGAGGACCTCATCACGCGGAATGTCACTGTAAATGTGTGACGTTCCACACCTGCTGCGCTTCTGATCAGCAGTGCAGCGTGCGATGGATCCAGTGGCGTAGGAACAGGGGGGTTCATTCGTCCTCCCCCAATAAACAGACCTTTGTACTTACATTATGAAGTTGTGCTCTCCAATATCAAACTCTCTCCTTTGGCCACAAGACCTGTCATTAATTCAGTTACCGTCCGCAGAGGTCCCGAGGCTATCCTTCATTAAAATAGGCTAATAAAGATAACTGCAACCCGCTGGTTAAGACATGTTAACACCCAATTCTTCTAGGTGTTTAATGTCGCTTTCCAAAGCTACTACAAGGTAGCCTACTCCTTTTAGGGCCCATGTCTACAACGGTTATGCAATCCTGCGCGTAGGCCTATATCTGCTGTATCTAGTGAAATGTCAGTAATTTGCTATTTCCAAGATTTCCATACCACATAATCGTGTCTGTGCGTGAACGACAGTATTACCTCGATAACCGAATACATGATCCTGAGTCTAAATTTACCAAAACAAAAGAGGCAAAGCCCAATATTCTAGTTCTGCTTGTAATAGATATTATAAAGTGATTACTAATTTAAGTGTGTACATCATTGACATGATGGAGTAATGCTAGCCTATTCACAGCAGCACAAAAACCTAGCACGGCGTCTAAAAAAACATTGTAGACGATTTATTGGCAGCAATGCGCGGGCAGAATCATTCGGCCTATTATAAGATTAGTTTACTGGTTTATTCTCTGAAAATTAGCAGAGGAATGCTCCTAGAAAGCAAGAAGAAAAACATGAAAAAAGCAGAACTTTTTATGTATAATAAACCTGTACAATTTTTCGAAAATAGGAATGGCTCAATGAGTCGTTGTTAAAGTAACTAATGAAAGCTGTATCAAATGAAATGAGAGAAACTATATTGACACCTAGTGGCTATAAGGTAGAAAGACAAAAAGACGATAAGTAATTGCAATTTAAGTCGCGACTATCTAAATCGTACTGCAACCTGTGCTATACTTAATGGTTTTTAACAGGCTTACACAATAACATGAAATTGAATTTCACCCCTTGAAAGTGTCCGATAAACGGCAATGTGGTAAGACTGCAGTCAGGCTGTGTAAATATGTAAATCCACAGCTGGCTGCTTCAGTGTTGTAGACCTGTAATAAAGACGGACCGCCTTTTCTTTCCCTCCCAACTCACGGAGCAGACGCCAGCCGAAGCTATCAGGCACACCGGAACTGAAGCAAGACTACAGCTGGATCCAGAAGCATTTTGGACCAGAGAGATTTATGTATGCAAATGTACGTGGGATGGGAGAAAGTCTGCTTTTAAAACGGTTGGAAAAAATACCTACAGAAACAGTCTGTATAGGGCAGCAGATGAAAAAACAAGGAGTGGTTTGTATGTTTGTGTGACAGTTGGACTGGCTCACTCATACACGGGAAAGTGCTTATCTGCCAATGGAGAACATCCCACATCAGGATCATCCTGAAGAAAATTCATATCTCTGGTAAGCTCACGATTTAATTTATCCCAGTACTTGTTTTGAATATTAATGTTTTTGTTAAACAGAACTGCATGAGCAGTTTAAACCCAGCCTGTTTAAATGTCAGGTGTTCATAGCAAAATAGACATGAAACAAAGGTTTGATTCTTATTCATCAGTTATTAGTAGCATACATAGCAGGAAAACAAGAGTGTAAACCTTTTGAAATATATATTTTTCAAAAGAAGAAAGACAGAAAATGAGCATTGAATTTCTTTGGCCAGTTTCCAGAGAACTCCATCACTCCGCCGCAAATGGAGAAAGCGATACGGAGGCTTGGATGGAAATAAATTACTGGAGCCCAACACCGAAGATGATTCAACAGGTACACGATGTGGGTCACTGTGAACCCTGCTTGCTACTTGCTTTTCTCTTTTCGTTTAGTCTTGCTGTTTTAGCAAATTATAGGCCTACACTGTAAAAATATTTCATTCCTTCAACAGCAGGTAGAGTAGAGAGGGCACTGGTGATCCTGATTCTAAGTAAATAATTAAATGATGCGTGTGGTCCAATTTTAGGGGTGTGAAACCGAATGAAAGGCGGGTGTATTCGAGTCCCAAATCAAGACCAGATGAAACTGCATAAGTTACTGACGTAACATTTCCAACCTGCTGGCTGTGCAGATTTGCACGAGTGAACCTCCTGGATTCCAGATAATAACCTTCCTTTTAATTATACAAAGCTCTGGTAGCATTTTGTTTCTCAGGTGACTTTTAATGGAAATACTGTATACATTGTTTAACCTCGAATGATTTTATATAATATAGTTTCCCAGGTAACAAAAAATGAACCAGTTTGTGGGACAGTTCTGCAAAGTCTCCTTCACACTAGTTTGTGTGTTTTTTTGTTTATTTTTTTATTCAAACTTGCTACTTCTGAGTGTGCAGCAATTCTTATAACCACAAACCTTAGTACCATTTCAGAGAGTCAGACAATTGCTGAAACCGTATAGTTGCATTCTTTCTCTTTTTGTTTCTGCGGTACTCCGAAAGTATGTATTGCTCAATCCCAACAAGCCAAAGTTAAAAATAAAAACAATTTTAATGCTTTCCTAAGCTTGCTTTGGCAGGAATGTGTGCATTTTTATGGTTAAGGATTTTTGTAGCATTTTTTCAAGGCTTAAAATAATTTCAAAATACGAATTACACAGAATTAGAAAAAAGTGGAGACAATAAAACGATCATTTTAAGGAAAGAAACAAATCTTATGTTTTCTTAGGATATTTCAAAAGTTTTCTTTGTTGGCATAATAGTTTTCTGTTTTTTCCCTCAGAAAATGGGTCTGTGAATGAACCACATCAGGATAGGAATTTCCCCCAGACGCAGAGTCCTGAAAGCCTGGTACAGGTATGGTCCTGTCCAAAGCGGACGTGCACACACACGCACACACATACACACACACACACACGCGCGCACATTTAGGGTAAACATGTACTTATGGGGACCGCTCATTCATTTCAATGGGAAAAATGCTAACGCTAACTATGACAACCTTAACCCCTACCCAGCCCTAACCAGTAGTAACCAAACTAACCAAACTAGACATATGGCATTTTTAGTTTTTTTACTGAATTCACAGATCTTTGTGGGGACCTAAAAAATGTTCCCCACATTGTCAAAATTACAGGTTTTTATTACTTTGTAGGGAACATTTGGTCCCCACAATGCAATATAAACATAATCCACACACACACACAAACACACACACGCACACAAACACACATACACACACAAACACACACACACACACACACACAGACACGCACACACACACACACACACACACACAGATTACGTATCTATATCTTTGTAGGGACTCTCCATTTCTATGGGCTTAACCCTAATCCTCACTATGATAACCTTAAGCATAAGTAACCAAACAAAATACAAGACTCTTTGCTCTTTCAGTTTTTCATTGTATTCACAGATTTTTATAAAATTGAGATTTATATTGTGGGGACTGAAAAAATGTCCCCATATGGTAAAAAAGTATTTGATCTGTTAATTCACACACACACACACACACACACACACACAGAGGAGCAGGTGCTGGAATTCCATGCTTTGATCCCTTTACCTCCCTTTACATACTCAAACAAGAGGTAACACTAACCAACACCTGGAAAAAAAGAAAAGGATCAAGGATGAACATGCACACCCCCGGCTTTCCGAGTCGCCACTAACATGCCCTCCCACTTCCCTCCCCCGGGAATTCACAGGGACGGGGACGCCCCCTGAGACTGAAGGGTGCTGGCAGAAACATACAGGTGTACGGCGGTCATGACGCTGCCAAAAGCATGAAAAACGTTTAGGTTAAAGTCCTGCGTAGGCCAGGAGTTTGCATGAGAGATTTCCCCAGAGGTTTATCCACGTACAAGAGCACAGTTTCAAAAACATACCCATAAACATCGAGTAAAGTATAATATCTTGTGGACTTGGAGCAGTTTCTGTAGTTTTTTGGATATGTTTTGTCCCCCGGTGCCTCGTTAAGGTAGTAATTAAATGCTTCAGCTGTTTACATTACCTGCGATTATTGTGACATCAAAAGAAAACCTTGGCTCTGCATGAACAACAGATTGCTGTCATGTAATTTTAACTAATTTGATGAAGTGGTTTAAAACAAACATCAGTTCATGGCGGTGGACCTGTTGAAGCGGCTTTTGTTCTGCTCTCCTGCTGTATTTCAAGACTGATCAGTCAAGACTAATTGATGCCTACAGTCCATGTGGTGTTTATGTCCTTAGGCGAGAGCCACAACTGTGAATCCAAGTCTAAAGTCACAAAATGCTGTCCAGCCACAGATGCCTATTAAGTTTGTGACCCCAGGATCAATAGGTAAACGTGGAAGCTGTGACATCGGTAAGAATACCATCAATACCATCTAATTTATCATTCAGAAAACCCCAACTAGTGCTTTAAACAATAACGAAAGACATCACTGTGATCTCACATCACATCACATCACTTTAATTGTATTTCTCGTTATGCCAGCGCCTGTAGGCTCTCCAATGGTGACCAATGGGAGGCCAGGAAAAGTGGGACCCCAGCGAGAGCAGGCGGGGAACCCTACCCCATTCTGGCACAGTTTTAACAGATTGGACCCCCAGCAAGCAAAGAGGAAGGGGTACATGTCCTTGTCTAAGGGTGGGTGGGGGCATTCTATGCCCTGTTAAATCAATCTTGTGCAGTTAAAACAAGTGTCTCTGTTCCACCAGGACTGCTGATGTTCTGTTTGAAAGTTTTGCTTCTGAGGGAAGAGTCAACACAAGCAGACTTTTTGAGGTAATCTGCACATTGTCTCTTCTCAGTTTTGAGCCTGGGCCCTGTCTCAGGTGGGATGTAAGACAGGTAACACCCTGTTGGGGCACCAGGCTGTCACAGCGCTACTACCTTCTAATGAGTTGAATTTTTCACCTTTGTATGGCCTCCAAGTCAGGAACCTCATTGTTTCCAAATTCAGACATAACTGTACCAGAATCCTACTAGACTAGGACCCGAAGACATGCTGGTCATCGTAGTTTAGCGAATAGTTATTGATTAAGTGCTATGACAATTGTGACCATGCACTCCAAATAGGCAATCTGGAGATCTGGGATTCGGAAAACTGACCCCAGGATTATTGATTGCCACCTACTGATGACGAAACTCCAGGCGGCAGATGGGACAGTTAACAGGGATGCCTTTCACAGGTCCGGAGACCCCCCCCCCCCCCCCCGAGACACTATACAGGGGCATTTATATGTCAAAAGAGTGCACTGTAAATGGTACCACTTTACAATAAGGCTACCCATATAAAAAGATTATGAATGGTTTATAATCTGGTTATTAATTAGGTTGTAACCCTTTGTAAATTATTAATAGACAATTTTAAATAAGTTATAACACAGTTTTCTTTTTATTAATGAGTTACTACCATTTACAAGTGGCAAAAGAGAGCCTTATTGTAAAGTGATACCCACTACGTAAAATGTGTTATCCTGTTTAATTTAGTATTCAGAGAGTGTAAAGTGTGCAGTGCACTCTGCTGTTGACATTGGATATGATGTTAGATATAAGGTTCTTTGTAACGTGGAATTTGCCTGTCATGGCAGGAGTACCACAGGCTTTGTGTCTTTCATCGTGAAAGCCCTGCAAGGCCGCTTCATCATCCCGGACTTCCCCACATTCACTGAGGAGACGCAGAAACTTTTCTTGAAGACCAAACAGCTCGACCCTGTCAAGGTTTGCCGTTTGTAAAACGTCTGAATTCTTAAATCCTCTGTATGCTATAAATGAGCTGGCCAGTACAATGTTTTAACCTTTATATAAAATAAAAGGCAAAGGATGGCGATCAAATTTCAATAATTTCCTTTTCATATTTTGTAGCAAGGACCAGGGAATGAAGGCAGCTGGAAATGGGGAGTTTCTATTTGCACGGTGGATGGGCAAAGGTACTCCACTAAACCAAAGTATCGGAGGATAAGCACCAGTCACCTTCCCTACCCGAAAAACAATTGTACAGAGGTGGAAAGTTCATATTCCTAAAATACAAATCCAGACCAAGATTTTGTTTCAGCCAACTAGTTTGGTACTAGTTGAGTACTCTGTGACTGTGACTCTTTATGCTCAACTGGCTGGTTGAAGCAAAATCTTGGTCTGGATTTGTATTTGCTGAGCCTGAACTTTCCACCTCTGTAATTACAGTACTACATGTTATTGTTATTATTATACACTATATTGTTATTTAGTTATTGTTATACATTATATAAATAATATAGTTTGTTGATTATATTAATATAATATAGAAATAAATGCAATAAATTTACCGAAATACAAACCAATGAGTCCACATTGACACCTTGCTTTTGTCATGCTCACACAAGGGTAACCTAGCAACAGCCAGCTAGCTTTCTCTCGCTCTCTCTCTCTCTCTCTCTTTCTCCCTCCCTCCATGTGTTTCAGGATTATGGAAGATGCTTAATGACCTGTTTTGTTTATGGACTGTAAGTTCAGGCCATGAGGGATAACGTGTGTAGATTAAGCACATCAATTTACAGCACACAGATAGGATGTTGGCCCCAGCTTTTTAATACACCTTAATCTGTGTGTGTGTGGGGGGCGACATTTAAGGGTAGCATCTTCTGAAAAGAGTGCCAATGATGTAAGTAATGGCTTAAGTCAGAGACCTTATCACTCTGGCCATATTGACATCTGCTGGACATGCTCAGACACAGAGGGAAAACCATCATCCATCCATCCATTTTTCTATACCTACTTTTCCTATGCAGGGTCATGGATAAATAATCAGAGAGGCAAAGGACCAGACAAATATAGTAGAAATGGCAACAGAGAAGTAGATAGACTTGATACAAAAACATTAAAGGGTGCAAACCATTGAACTAAATCACTGAAAAAACAACCCCAATTATTTTTAGTGAAAACAGCCAATCTGGCAAATAGCAAGTGAGTTGTGTTTTTTTAATGGATCATAAGTGCTCTGTTGGCTGTTAGGTGCCTTTGTTTTATAAGCCCCAACCTGTCTGCAGCCAGGGGTGTGATAACCCATAAAGCAGTGGGCCATTCCTACTAAGATGAAAGGAAATGCAGGGTTTCGAGAGCTGAAAAGAATGCTGTTTGATTTATGTCAGGCCTTCAAAGCCAAGTTCATCACCAGCTGTGCTCCGTTACCAAGTAACAACCAGCCTGTTCCTACCTCTCCTGCAGAGGAGCCTGGGTCCAGAAATGAAATGCTCTTTGGCCCCTGTTCCCTTGTGATGGCAGGTTGTCGCTCGGAGACTGTATGGAACCCTTCCTCCTGGAAGCGCTCTCCTGGCCCTTTGTTTACGGCATGGCGGTGGACCAGCTCGGAGTGGACTATGTCCACAGATACGTGGGCGTGGAGGAGTTCTCAAAGTATGACTCACCTTTCACCCTCACCAAACAGGGTAAGATGTCTCTGAGGGGAGAGGGATTTGGCCCTATTCTTGGTCAAACCTGGAAACCTGGAATTAGCACTATAAATATTGAATTACTGTCCTTTGATACTCATTTCGCTTAGGCTTTGTGCCACTTGTTTATGACGTCTGTTTCCTGGGAAGAGATCCAGGCTCGTTTTGCCCTTGTCGATAATTTGCAGTGACGGACAAAATGACACTTCATGAACCATTTGCTGTATTTTTTGAGTCCACTAGATGGTGCTCTTGGTTTGCTTTGGGGCATGCTTTAAGTCCTTTATTGGAACAGTGAGATCAAAAAATGCAGCAGATGGTTTATGAAGCATCATTTTGTCTATTACTAATAACCAGTTATTTTGTGCAAAACCAATTTTCATCTGACGAGTTTCAGATGATTTACATTGTGGTCTAAAGCCACATTATTTGCACTTTTGGCCACTGATTTCAGATATCATCTAGAACCAAGATCGCAGAATGAGTTCCACATGAGCCTGTTTGTTCCCTTTACCTCCTCTATCTTCCAGGAATGCCTCACAGCCCACTGATTGTCACCGGTGCTATCATCACTGCATCCTTGTTACAGGTATATGATTTGTGATGGACAAGCATAAACCATTCGCTGTATTTTGTGACCACATTAGATGGTGCTCTCTGTTCTCTGTCCCAAAGCACACCAAGAGCACCATCTAGTGGGATCAAAAAAATACAGCAAATGGTTCATAGAATGACATTTTGTCCATCACTAGTGCTGATATATGATATATGTATTCAGTTGGAGAACATGGTAAATGACTTTACTCTAAAAATGTTTATTTTTACAGCTACCAGCACGAGTTGAGGCAGAAGAAGAAAAGTATGACTCGGTGAATCAGCTGAAACGTTCAAAGTTTATTACAAAGTCAAAAAACATGTATTAGAATATGTGGTATAACTGAAAGGTTGATGAGAGAAATGATATTTGTTTGTGATTTTAGGTTTTGAATACATTCAGACGGCTGTGTAATAAAGAACATACAAATTTGAACTGCACAAGGTATGCAGCATTTAAAGTTTTTCTTTCTTTTAATTCCAAAAGTATAAAATGCTTGACTTTTTTTCGATACATCTGTAGCTATCAGAACTTGAAGAAAGAGAGTGTCAGACTGCATTCCCTGTCTTTTTACCTTCAGGAAAAGAAGGTGAGATTAATTCTTTGTTTGAGTATGACAGGATGTGGCTGTGGGTTATGACTTTTCTTACATAGTCTTTTTGGTTGGTATCAGAAGCTGTAACACTCATGAATCTTTATCTCAGTGTTTTCCAGAATCTGTGGACATAAATGCTGCTGTGGATTTAATCCAGCAGGTAATTGTCTGATGGTTTATTAAGGTTTCTTTTTATTTTCATGATAGCAGTGTTATCACCACAAATGTCATTCTGTCCCAGTGTTCATCGACCGAGGTCACCTGTGAGTCCGGGGCGGTGATGGCTGCTACTCTAGCCAATGGGGGGCTCTGCCCCTTGTCAGGTGACCAGGTTCTGAGCCCTTCATCGGCACGTGCTATGCTGTCCATGATGCAGGTGGCTGGGATGAACGACTACTCCAGGCTCTTCCACTTCAAGGTGTTGTCTTTTTTCCCGAAAAGAAGCCTTCAAAACTGGCATTTGAACAACAGTCACACAGACACAAAAAAACCACTTAATTATACCAAGTGAATGCAACATTTCGTAAGGTGCTGTTCTGCGGGAGGGAAATATCTCTATACAAGTAAGAGAACCGCCAAAACCACAAACCTTTAAGTGTTCATGTCTACTCCATCTCCTGCACCATCTACACCATCTCGATGTACTTTCTTATCAAGCCTGAACAGGGGGTTCAAAGTCATATATTAACAGCTGGGTGTGATCTCTTCAAAAGGCATTATGGTCCAAGATGTCCATGGTCACACCATCCATCCATCCATTCAACCAACCTGCTTATGTTCAGATTCTAGCCTCCAGACCTCACGTCTGCTGGTGTGTTTCTCAGCTTATGTTTATTGGCACAGACCTCAGTCCCAGCGAAGTCAAGCAAATCGGGCAGCTTGCTTGTAGCCGTGCCCGGGGTCCTGGGCATCATGTGCTGGTCCCCTGAGCTGGACGCCTTCGCAAACTCCTGGAAAGCGGTGCACTTCTGCGAGGTATCGACGCCTGTCAGGGTTCCAGCCTTTTCTGTACCTGCTTCCCTAGAGTGGATTCCTCAGCATCGCTGCCTGTTGCTGGTCTCTTGTTTCCAAAGGAGCTGGTCTCAACATTCCAGCTTCACAGCTTTGACATCAGGACGCCGTTTCGTCAGGTGGTCGCGTACAGGCAGTGGAAAGCCGAATCTGAGGTCAGTTCTGAGATCCAAAAACCATCTACACCAGAGGTTAGGGGACCCTGACTCTAGAGTGCCGGTATCCAGCAGGTTTTCTGTCCTACCTGATCGCTGATGAACCACCCATGATCTCAGACAGATAGGAACTCATCAAGTAGGATGGAAAACTTGCTGGATACCAGTATTCCAGGATCAGGGTTACCTACCCCTGATCTATACAGAGGACCAGTGAAGACACTGCAGTCTTTTGTGACCATGTGTGACATTACAGGGCTACCAGATAATGAATATCTTACTCGCGGCCTACAGAGGAGATGTGCAGTCCTTACGGAGGTAAGGCAGGGCCATGTGGTAACCAGCCAATCAGAGGCTCGAGCTGCTGGGTGTGGCCATGATAGGAAATGGGCTCCTCCCTCTTTCTATAGGTACTTCCTGTCAGGAGTAGACATGAACGCGGTGGATTACGACGGGAGGTCAGCTCTACACATAGCCGCCTCACAGGGTCAGACAGAAGCCGCTAAGTTCCTTATAGAGAACGCTGGAGCAAGCATCTCAGTCAGAGACAGGTAAGGAACATACAAGGGGACTGTATTTATTGTGAAGGATCCCAGTTATTTTCTGCATTGCAGTAACCAATGCCATTTTACCATCCATCCATACATCCATCCATCCATCAATCCCCTAACTGCTTCTGTTAGTCTGGGTCACATAGGTCACAAGGGTGGGGTAAACCCTGAATGGGATACCAGTGTAGTAATTTGCCTAATATGACAGATGACAATGGGCTGAGATGTAGTTATGGACCGATCCATCTGGGATTAACTGAAGATAATGTTCACATTGAGGAGAATTGTAGATCACAGGCTTGGTGATAGTGGGCACCTGGGTTACTATGGGACAATCGAGACAACGTGCCAGTTTACACAAATCCCTGAGAATGAGTAGCAGTTGGGACCAGTCGAGATAAATAACTGCAGTCACCTGACTCTCCCTCCTGGGAGGGCTGCAGACCATCTCCACACCATTAAATATGAAGGGGGTGTCTCTTCTTTATCGTTTACCTCCAAGACACCATTAATGATCTCTGCCTTAAAGCATTTCCCAACCAATGAAACACTGTTTTTCAGATGGGGCACCACTCCGCTTCAGGATGCTGTGCGGAGTAACCACAGTCACATGGTACAGATGCTGCAGAAGTCCGAAGGTTAAGGAGGACCTGAGTGACCCTGCAAACCGCTCAGGAGGGCGTCCCCTAGCCGTTACACGCATGTGGGCACGGACAGGGCGCCTCGGGGCGTCGCAGGCATTGAAATGCAGGGCTTTTCACATCTCTCAATGAATTATAAACAACTTACAAAAGCTGATTAATAAAATGGTACTTTGGGGTTTTTATGCTCGGAGTACATTTCGTTTTTTCAGTATGCCACATATAGATAATGTGCCAGAGTCACCTTCCTGTAACTGTCACTGCCAGCATTTAAACATGCAGTGACTGAACGTCACTAGGAGGAGAAGCTGCTATATTTAAGTGCTGTAGTCTGTGAAGAAGGTCAGGTTATCTGAGGAACCCCTGACGAGTTTCAGGTATGTTAGATGAATCTACAGAAATTCGGTTTTGATCACATGATTCCAGAGCTAATGTACAGTGCCGTGACGAAGTATCTACCCCTGTCCTAATTCCCTCTATTTTTGCTTATCCATAACATCTCCAAACAAATTTAGTACAATGGACAACCTGAGTAAACACAACACGCAATTTTTTAATGATCATTTATTGAGGGAAATAATTCACTGACACCCATATCACCCATCTGACAAAGTAACTGCCCTCTATTCACGCAATCAGCCAGTGAACCAAATCTAAATGATAATATGATAAATGAATCTAGACACACTCATGCCTGAGTGCTGCCAAAAAAGAAGCCATTCCAGCAATGTGAAGCCTGATAAGGGCCCTCAAGAAGCAGCGCACCACGCCTCTGTCAAAAGAACCGCCTGAAGGCCTGAGGAAGTAAGGGGAGAAATACTCTGGCATGGTGCTATATCTGAAAGCAGTCCCTCCTCTGTCCCAGCAAAGTTCACCCCCAGTCAGCGTGGTATTGTTTCCTAGTCTGAATGCGGTGCCCTAATTTAAGCACGGAATGTGATCTCACTCTGGTATCTGTCCATATACCTCCGCAGCGGAGCCGCCGTTGTCCCATGCTGGACTGCAGGAAAAACAGAAACATTGTTTTGGTCTCTGATGCAGATTAACAAGTCATTTTCTTCAATCCTTTGAGCCATAATCAGAATATAAACCCTATGTCAATAAAATCAATGATATCTCCAATGAAAATGTGTAGATTTATCTAAAAATGTATATATAATGCAATGAAAAGTTGATACGGTTATATCATTTTTGAGGCTCTCCAGCACCAAGTAACAAACAAATGCTATCTTTAACTAGAGTGCTGAGAGACTGGGTCTCCGTAGTTGCTCCACAGAGAACACCTGTCTCACAAGGAAGGGTGTGCGTTTTCTGGGGTGGGGGCATCCTCCGGTCATCTGTGTTGTATGTATGTATGCGTCACCCGCATGGATATGGGATCCAAGCCTGGAGACCACCCCCGTACAGTGACCCCTCCTTCGGTGATGCTGTGTGATATTACATCACCATGTTGGCCGGATTAATTTTGGATCCAACGGTGGAGCCTCTTCCCATTTGCCAAGTTTCTTATGGATTTATACTAAACTGCTTCTCGTGGGCCTCATTTCCATGACGCCTGATGTTCACGACTGAAGATGCCGAAGCACAAACCAGACGGTGTCCCAGTTCGTAACCCTCTTTCCTTGGTTTTGTTACTGATTATCTCACAATACCCTGTCAATAACCCACAATCTTTACTGCAAAGGGTAGGGTGAGTCCACCAAAAAGGTTAGGGTACAAGAGGTCCCAAGTTAAGAACCCAAAAGAACGGGTAAATATGTCTTTTTTAGAAGTCAAAATAAGGAACCAGAAAATTTGGCTTAAAGTTTCAGAGGAGCAAAGCTTCTTTTAATAGGCTGTGATATTTTCCTCGGTCTAATTAGGAGATACGCAGCACATGAATGTAACACCCAGATCCGGCAGCTTTTAGATAATCCACTTCTGAGCACATGACTTTCAAATGAAATATCGAAAGAGGCGTCTTGCTATCAAAACTCCGTAATAAAGCAATGCAGAACTTGTCACCCATAATGTGCCCGCCATAGTCAGTAACTTATTTTTGAAAGATGGACGCATGCTGATGTAGGAAATTCTGAACTGCAGTGTAACCTTCATACAATTCCGGCGTCTTTTGTTTCTCATTATCGAAGTATGCCGAGAAAAGGAGACAGTCCATCATCTGGAAACTCTATCCCAGCATAGTTTGTTAAAATTCCCGCTAAATATAGAGCCAAACACAGCCCTACCACCCTCTAACACGAATCGATGTAAAAAGAATATTCGGCTCCTGTCCTCCCATATTTCCACTGCAAATATCACACAGCTCCTGTCCTGCAGTCCTACTGCACCTTGAAGATTTGATGTTGTTTCATCTCATTTGCACATTGAATTGCGGATATTTAAATGAGCGTCACTTATGTTTGCTGTCCATAGCCATTGCGCTGTTCTCCGCAACTTATCGCTAAGGCTTGACTATGGAATTTCTGAGATTATCGTGTGTGATAGAATGGTAGTTTTGGGCACATTTCCTTTAAAGGGTACAGGCAACATTTTGCAGGATAATTATGATACTCGACTTTGCGTAGTAACAGGAATAATTTGGTGGGTCATTAAGTGCAGAATAAATGCTTCAAGTTGTATGTTCAACAGTATGCCCAACTGCTAGCTGTGTTTCCTGTCACCTGGTCTTATTAATTTTGCTCGGTTTCTGGGTTGTCAACTTTAGTCAGCTGGTTGGCGTGAGATTTTCAGTTCGAGACCAGCCTGCATATTCGTTTACACATACGTAACGGTTTTATTACCTTGTAAAGTATTTATTAGTTGCAAACTTCCCCAACGCTTTTGATGTAGCTAATTTTAGGTTTATAATGGAATGATGTAGATTTGCCGTAAGATTTCTTGCGTGAGCGTGAGAATCAGAAAGCGTGATGGTCACACCAGATGCGTGAAAGCCAGCAAGTTTGTGTCGTTTCCCGATCGCAAGTTCATCAGCAGACAACTTGTGGATTGTAGCTGCTTTGGGCTCCTTTCCTATTACGGCGGCCACCAGCCGTACTCGGCGCGTTGTAATCGATGCTAGGCGTCGCCTGTGCGCTATTGGATAGCAGAATAAGGTTGTTCATCCGAACCCCACCCATCCCAGCGCTCACCAACCCCTAATAATCATACAATTTTACTCAACATGTTGTAACAGTCGGTGTGACTGTGATGTGTACGATCGTGTGAGACTGAGAGACACGGAAGGGCTATGAACGCCAACGCTGGAACCGGAGTTTTTGTGCTTTCCCTGCTGTCGATACCCATCTCATATTTATTTAACCTTTTAATTTACACTAACAGGTCGGGTCCGTCATGCTTGTGCATTATTACAGTGTCATTAAAACGGGTTTGCATATAGATGCCTGCGGCGAAACCGCAAGTAAAAACGTTGGATTGTTTACACGGAAGCTTACGAAATTGTATCATACTACAAAGAGTTTTGACCATCGATTCTGGGTTTTAACGTACAGAAATCTTGCACTTGCACCCAGGACACAACAGAACTTAACACTATCGGAAATACGATATAATGTGCTTCAGTTTATTAGTTTCATGCAAATCAACAATAAGTCTCTTTTTTTTTGCAGCATCGGAGCAGTTATTGTTTCGGGGACATTAATGGTGCTCTTTATAATGACATTTGCTCGCATTTCGCTGAAGAAGAATCCACCGAAGGATCCTCTTTTTTACGGTAAGAGCATTGATATTTATCCTCCTGGTAAAAATGTGTGTTGGATTGTAACGCTATAGCACGGTTAGATGAATGCTGTCATCAATGCAAATCAGCACAATTATTTGATTAATTAAGTATTCATTTAATAATACATTATGCCCTATTTACAACAAATCTCTCCAGTTTTAAACTCCCTAACAAGTAAAGAGGTTTATTTGTCAATTGTACACAGGCCTACAGTGAAATGCAGCTGTATGAACAGACTACACTGTGCACTTATTTTTAATAAAAGTTCAAATTTGTACCGAAACGATCACGTTAATAGATATTAACATAAGTTTATATTTATAAATATGTAAACTATCTGTATATAGCACATTAGTATTTGAATTGTCTTCATCCAGAGACGGAGAGATATAGAGTAGTTTTTTTATTTTTCATATTTTATTATTGCCACATATTTAGTCTGGCATGTTTAATTTTCTTTATCGTGTTGTTTCAGTTTTTGCCGTATACGCCTTCTTCAGCGTTGTGAACCTTATTATAGGACTTGAGCAGGACAGTATTATAGACGGATTCATGACCTTCTACCTAAAACAGGTGAGTGACACCAGAGAACTGTCATTAATACATGAAAGTGTCCGCTATCTTTACCTGTTACCTCAAATTAGGAGTTAACGAGGGAATGACGGGTGAGATATAGTCATGGGCGTTTACAGATGTCCATGATATTTAACGCATGAAATCGTCTGAACATGATTTATGCAATATCCTGAGGTATTTACTGTTACGCAATCTTCCTTGTCCATGGAAATTACAGTCCTATTCCATTTAATGTCAAAATGTTTACATAAGGCAATGTGGAAAATCAATACAGGAACAGAAATAAAATGTTATTGTGGATATAAAAGAAAAATACATCTGTTAGGCAGCACCTGTGTGCTAATATTAGCATGCTATGCTAAAATAGGCTAGGGTGAGCTACGTTAAGTCCTCAGATCGAGCATGGAGACCCAGGGGGCATCCCGTGTGTTGGCTGACAGACGGCTTCATTGGCGAGCAGCCCTCTAGCTGACAGGTGTCTCCCCAACAGCTCTGTTACCTATTCCAGAAATGAACTGTTAGGTAACAGTTTCTACATGTTTGGCTTTGCTGTTCTGATCAGGAGTAGATCATCTTATAAGGTCCGACTTCATTCTTCATTTTTATCAAGTTACATTAAGGCTTCCATAGCAGCTCCACTAGCATGAAATGCCACGTTGCCGTTATTAAACTAGAGGTTCAGATCCCTCTCCCATGATGAGTCTGCGGGTGTTTCCGGAAACCGTTCAGTTAGCGATTGGCTAATACCACCCAGCAGCAGCCAGATGTAGGCCCCTGGAAGGAGGTGAGGTCCTGAGTGGCTGGGGGCCCCATGCTGACTCCGACTCTCTGTGCACGTTGCAGGCAGATCCATACATTAACACGGCTCACGGGCATGTGCTGTCCTACTGGGATGGCTGTGTGCACTATCTGATGTATCTGCTGGTGGTGGCGGCGATAAGCTGGGGGTATGTGCCATTGTGTTCTGTCTTAAAGAGACACGCCACTCTTTCTGCTGCTCACACAGACATGTCATCCTATTATCACTGTTCATAAGCACTATGCTGATGCATCAGTGTTATAAATTGTATAGTCAAAACCATCATTTTAACTTAATATGACTTGTATTTTCTGAAAGGGAGAGTTACAGAAACATCGGGCTGTACTGGGTGGGATCCATCCTTATGCATGTGATCGTCTACATTCCTGGAAGTGTTGTAGGTAAGTTGGTGAATTTGAACCACGTGCTCTATGCTGGCAGCTAATTGGCTGACGCTGCCTGGCACTCCGGCCCGGCTGACCCTGTGGTCTCGCCACAGGAAAATATGGGGCACAGCTGAGCTGCACATTCACCATTCACCTGCTGTACATCATGGTGTCTGTGTGGGCCTGCTTTCGCGTGTTCGGCCAGCCAGCCACACAAGAGGTGTCGCCTGTGGTAAGAAACATGCTCGCGGTAAGGCACGCAGTCACGCTAAGGCACACACGGTAAGGCACACAGTCACGCTAAGGCACGCAGTCACGCTAAGGCACGCAGTCACGCTAAGGCACACAGTCACGCTAAGGCACACACGGTAAGGCATGCAGTCACGCTAAGGCACACACGGTAAGGCACGCAGTCACGCTAAGGCACACACGGTAAGGCATGCAGTCACGCTAAGGCACACACGGTAAGGCATATGCTCACATTAAGGCACATACTAAGGCTAAGGCACGCTCTGAAACTAAAGTGCATGAACATGCTAAGGTGCACACTTCCGTTAGGACATACACTCCCATAAGACACAAGGTCATGCTTAGGCACACGCTAATGCTAAGGCACATGCTAATGCTAAGGCACACTCTCACACTAAAGCACATGCCCACGCTAAGGCACACACTCCTGTTAGGGCATACACTCCCGTTAAGGCACAAGGTCGCACTTAGGCACACGCCAATGCTAAGGCACATACTAAAGCTAAGTCATGCACTCAAAGGCACACACTCCAACTAGTACTAGGATATATACTCCAATTAAGGCATATGCTCATGCTAAGGCACGTTCATGCTAAGGCACATGCCTATGCTAAGGCACAAGTTCACACTAAAGCACAATCTTAAGCTAAGGCACAAGCTCCTGCTAAAGCAATCGGTTACACTAAAGCACATGCTCACACTAAGGCACACGCTCACACTAAAGCACACGCTCACACTAAAGCACATGCTCACACTAAGGCACATGCTCACACTAAGGCACACGCTCACACTAAAGCACATGCCTACGCTAAGGCACATGGTCTTGCTAAGGCACACTTTCCTGCTAAGGCACATGCACACGTTAAGGCACACGGACACGCTACGGCACACGGACATGCTGAGGCACACTCCTACTAAGGCACATGCACACGTTAAGGCACACGGACACGCTACTGCACACGGACATGCTGAGGCACACTCCTACTAAGGCACGTGCACACATTAAGGGATACGCACATGCTAAGGCACATGCCCACACTAAGCATACACTCTGTGATTTTGTGGGCAAATCAAGTTGGGTTATTTGGTCATCCATCCATCCATCTATCCATCCATCCATCTATCCATCCATCCATCCATCCATCTATCCATCCATCCATCCATCCATTTATCCATTCAACCATTTTTCCTGGTCGGGGTCAACGTACACACACAGTAGCAAAAACTCCTTATGAGAATCATGTACCAAAAGAAAACATGTTTAATAATGTAAATGTATATATATATCTATATGTTTTAAGTCCTTATATGAGCACTGTGTTTAAGTACACAGCACAGGTCTGATCCTCCCACACATTGTAACATTAGTGCCATGTCTGTCTGTTATATTTATGTATGCAGAGTATCCAGGAAGCTCACAGGAAGAGCCTGTTTCAGAGACCCCTGGATTTACTGTTTGCACTCTACCTCATCCCGGCTTTCGCTTTCTGCGTCTT